GTATGTATGTATGTATGTATGTATGTATGTATGTATGTATGTATGTATGTATGTATGTATGTATGTATGTATGTATGTATGTATGTATGTATGTATGTATGTATGTATGTATGTATGTATGTATGTATGTATGTATGTATGTATGTATGTATGTATGTATGTATGTATGTATGTATGTATGTATGTATGTATGTATGTATGTATGTATGTATGTATGTATGTATGTATGTATGTGTGTGTGTATGTATGTATGTATGTATGTATGTATGTATGTATGTATGTATGTATGTATGTTAATTACAAGTGTAGTTTTCGGTCACCACCAGCGGAATCAGATTACAACCATGTCAGCCGGGAGCCTGCCTGCAAATCTGTCAAGATTGTCACTCCAGCAGAACCCCATTGAGGCAATAGATATCGCCGCTTTTGACGACTCAATCAATACACTAACGTCGTTAAGCATATCTAGAGCTAGGTTTACTCAAATTCCTGCCGCCATATTTCATTTGAAACAGCTTACAGAATTCGATCTTTATCAAACACATATCCTCGTTTGGTATGAAGCTGGCATGAGGAGACTTGGTATCAAACTCCAATCGTTTAATCTTGGCGCGGTTGGTTTAACAGCATGGCCACACTGGCTAACATTGTACTCTCAGCTCACAGAACTGATTGTGACCAATAACTTCATTCCTGCTCTCCCAGACCAAGCTTTGGATATGGTAGCCAGTAACTTGACGAAACTGGCGCTAATCAACAATAGCCTGTCAGCTGTCCCTAAGACATTATCAAAGATGACCGCCTTAAAGTTACTATCACAAGAACAAAACAGAATAACCGACATCAGCTGGCTTCCCCGGTCATGTAACCTGACACAGCTGAGCCTGAACGGAAACCGTATATCGGACGCCAAGAAACTCATCTCCGGTTTAAGATTCTACGCTGACACTATTGACTTTTTTGCCATCAATGACAATTTACTGACATTCCTTCCGGACATGTCCTTCTTGAAACTGATAACAAGTCTGGACTACACAAACAAGAACGTATCAGATCCATATTCTGGAGTTATCCCTGCGGATCTCACCGACTTGCAACTTTCAAACAATTTGTTACCTTCCATCCCTCGTATTTTCAAAATCATGAAATCTGTTCCAGTACTGAATCTTGAATACAATCGTATAGCATCCATTCAAGCATCTGATATTCCTAGTTCAGCGACAAGCGTTGATGTTGGGCATAATATTTTAGTAGAATTAACAGACACCAGTTTCCCCGTAAACTCGAGCATTACTTCATTACTTGTTCCTTTTAATCCCATATCATGGATTTCTCTTTCCGCCTTTCAAAACATGCCACGGCTGCAAAGATTAGATCTTGGACATACTCAACTAACAAGGCTGTCATTGGCTATAGCGTCATTGACCCAGTTAAATTACATTGATGTAACAGGCAGCACCGGCCTAGTCTGCACTTGCTTAGAAAAGAGTATGGAACAGATTATTTCTCTACTGCCATCTTACAACGTTGTTGGAGATTGTGGGCACACTAGCTTGTACGTCTTCTTTACAGAACTGAGTTCCAGCTGTCCCGCTGTGTGAAAGATCTATGTCGAAGTATTGTAGCAGCAGCAGCAGCCCGACTAGAAGCAGCAGCAGAAACAACAACTACAACAACAACAGTGATGCGGAAACAAGGAAACATAGGGTGGCGATCTCCAAAAGAGTGGTTTGTGCTCAGCCTCATTGCTGATTTTCTAGGGGACTCTCAAGGGGACAAAACCTTGTTTAATTAATAATTAAAAAAATAATAAAGAGAATAAAACAAACAATGCACTCAATCACAAACAAATAAAATAATACATCTGAAATAGTGTGAAGTGTAAATTTTTTTTTTATCTACACCCATCCCCCCCCCCCCCCCCCCACCCCCCCCCCCCCCCACCCCACACACCCTTTTTTTTCAAAAACACAAAACGAAGCACTATTGCATTTTTAATGAACAGCACACTTTATACTAGAATAAATATTTCATTTGGCGAAATAATTATTTTATCGAGGACAGCAACATACCTCTAAACTCGAACTAATGTTATTAGCAAATGAGACCGCCCTTTCAAAAGGGTGTACGGTCTTCGCTTGACTCTTTAAGAGAACGGAATCTTTTTTGGCATTGATTTATTTAGCCGTTGGGTTTGTTGCTGTGGGATGACTTTCTTTTCTTCTCTGATAGCAAAAGACAGCTGTTTATAGGCTCTCGCCACGTTTTACTGCTGGACTCGTTGGTTGAATTCGTCCCATTTGTCTTATGGGGATTATATCAAGTTCGTCCCATTGGTGTCTTATGGGGATTAAATCAAGTTCGCCCCATTGGTGTCTTTTTGGGGATTTTATCAAGTTCGTCCCATTGATGTCTTATGCGATTATGTCAAGTTCGGACCATTGGTGTCTTATGGGGATTATGTCAAGTTCGGCCCATTGGTGTTTTATGGGGATTATATAAAGTTCGTCCCACTGGTGTCGTATGGGGATTATGTAAATTTCGTCCTACTGGTGTCTTGTGGGGATTATAAAAAGTTCGTCCCATGTTATGGTGATTATATAAAGTTTGGCCCATTGGTGTCTTGTGGTGATTATATCAATTTCGTCTTATTGGTGTCTTATGGCGATTATATTAGATGACATAGCTGGCAAAGGAATTGTCTGGATGTTGTTGCTTGCGAGGAATTTGTGATGAGATAGGAGGCTCGCTGTCAAATCCAGCTGCGACTCGCTGCAGCCACGGCCGGTGTTCGAAACCGGGCGGTTCCCGGGGTATACCCATTCATTCATTCATTCATTCAGTAGCATGTCCCTCGCGGAACCTCGCTGCCATAACAACCCTCCGGAAAACCTTCCTATCCTGAGCAAGATGTCCTGCGTCTGATACACCCATCTGGAGATCATCTGCCACATCCTGCACCCATCTTCTCCTTGGCCTTCCTCTTCCTCTCTTCCCAGGCATATACCCCTCCATTATTGTTCTCTCTAGACTTCCATGACGTTTCAAGTGACCAAAATATTTCAATTTTCTTTGTTTTATTGTCTTTACTAGCCAACCCTCTTCAATATTCAGCTCTTGAAGTATGGATGCATTTGTTCTTTTCTTTACCCAAGATATTCTTAGAACCTGTCTGTAACATTTATATTCAAATGCATTTATGCGCTGTTCCGCTTGTTTAGTAAGTGTCCAGGTCTCACAGGCGTATGTTGCAATGGGAAAGATGCATGCTCTTAAAAATCTGACCTTTGTAATTCTATCTGTACAATTCCATAATTTATTCAGTTGTTTTAGTCTTTGAAGAGCAATTGATAGTCGCCGTTTAATTTCTTTCATTGTGTCACCATTGTTCCAGCCTCTAGGAAATGGGTACCAGAGTAGATACTCTGGGGTGAATGGAGGAACGTCGCTGTAGCTACGAAGGTGAGTGCCAAGGGCGACACAGGCTAACAGTTTCTTATCAGCTGACCGTACTTGTGGCAAAGCAATTATGGTTTATAACCGTGTGCAATGACGCTGGTTCACATCTCCGGACTTTATCTTTACTTTTTTATCCTCGTGCAACCGGAAGTGGATGGGCGTGAAGATGAAGATTTTCAGCGAGGTATTGTTAGGCATGCAGGAGATCCTCAAGCTAGATGCGTGACTCCGCATTTAAATGTCGGGGGTTCGAAACTAAAACGGTTCCTTCCAAAAAATAGGTGACGTGCGGCCCTAAATGGGTCCTAGTGAACAAAAAGGCGACCGGCTTGATGTTGACAACATCATCCAACTAGTGCCGATTGATCTATAAAATAAAGGTCTAGCCCTTTTTACCCAGTACGCCTGAAGGCGCAGAGAAAGGTCAATAGTGTGTTTTTTTTTAAATAAAATATAAAATTCAATTATAGTTTGCTAGAATTTCTTAATATCCTACCCCAAACAGGAAAATCCACAGGTCACGGGACAGTATTATATTTCGGGGGAAAAAGGGGGGGGGGGCGGGAAAGATAAGCTGCTTGCAATCGTGGGACCAAGGCTGCAGTCTCTCGTGGGACGTAGGTGGGTTGGGGTAAGGGCCAGTTCTAGATGTTTTGGGGTCGTTAGAAGCATCAGAAAGCCTGGAAACCCAGTCTTACCACCCTCTAAAATGTTGGACTGTCGTGTGACGTCAACTGGGAGTAGGATTTAACAAAAGTGCCTAGTTTGTTACTGTTTGAAAATAAGGCGACTAATATTTTAATGTGTTTCGAATAATTGGGTTAATAATTCCTCTTGAAGGTCGATACTGAAACTGGACTCTCAGAGTAAACTGCACAGTTGAAATAATCTCAGCCAGGGGCGTCGACTCAAAGAAACCCGAAACGAGCTTATGAGTGGGGCATGTACAGGGGTGGAGGGTAATTGAGGAGGGACAGACATTTACAGATATCGGTTGCGGACACTCAACAATTGTTACCGCTGCATAATAATAACGATAAGGATAATGCTAATATAATAATAACAAAAAAAAAAAAAAATGTAATAAACTAATAAAAAAATAAGAGTATCAGTGGCAAAATGGTCCGACCGTTCACCCCTGGTCCCGTACGTTGTGGACTGATTCACGGACTCGCCGCTCAGTTCACAAGCCTAGTCTGTCATATTCATCAACCGCATCAGGAGGCAGTGACTCTGGGTATAGTCGTTTGAGCTTTGTAGATTTAGGTGTTCTGTAAAGTTAAACCAAACTATATGGAATAGTCCAGTGCATTGTAAACGATCCCCTCCCTTCAGTGACTGAAATGTTTGCTTTAATTTTAATAACAATAATTATATAATTGTGTTGAATGGCAAATAAATTAAAAAATATAAAGTGAATGAACAAATACCTACACAGTGCACTCTATACATTTTTACGGTATCTCTGTAGGCCTCTTTCCAAATTGTCTAGGGGAGCTGATTAAAAAAACGTGTGTAGGTTTTCTTTGGGGGATGGAGGCTCATGGTGCCGAGGCCACCAGATTGGCGGCACCCCTAAGATCAGTTGCAGCAGTTATGACACTAGGACATCGAGGACTCAGCGTAGCAAAGAAAACAGAAATACTAGTCAGACCACAATCCCCTAATAACGTCACAGCGGACATTGTCTGTACCCACTTCTGCAGACTCTTCTCTGCGCATGTGCAGACAAGGTATCGACTGCTAGTGATATCAAATAGGGTCAGTTTTTTAAGGGAAGACAATGCAATTGGCAGGCGAGTGAGGTAACTATTTTTTAAACTTAAATGCGTAAGGTTTGACAGGTTGTTAAAAGCCAACGCGGAAATTGTCCCCAGAGGATTGTCATCTAAAGTTAATGACAGTATACCGGAATCCACAGGAAAGCTCGTATCCGTCAATTGCGTTACACGATTGTTATCAAGCTGTACAAATATAATACATGAAGGAAAATCGGTGTCTTTGATTCCTGTGATGATATTTGACGACAATGCTAAGGTTGGAACAAACTGCAATGTTAATATAAAACTAGGAATTGCAGAAAACAAATTTGATGAGATATCGAGGTAATCCAGTTTTGCAGGAAACGTGCCAGAAGTTGCACTGCTTAATCTATTTTTAGAAAAGTCAAGACTGTCAACCTGAGCTAAGAAATCCAATTCTGGTATAGACGCGAGTTGGTTGTCTTCTAAGTCAATGTCAGATAATGAGTTGGCATAAGGGAGCAATGATTCACTGATATGTGTTGAGTTGGACAGTTTGTTTCCACCCAGTGATAACGTAGACAACGAACTTGACTTGGGAAGCCAAGTGATATTTGATATCAGATTATCTTCAAGATAGAGTGATTGTAGAGTCGTTAGTCCTGATAATGCTAGTGGAACTTCATGCAGATGATTGTTGTCCAAAGATAGACTAGTTAGCCTTTTCATCGTGCTAAAGGCATCATCGGGGATAGAAGACAACGTACTGCCCTCAAAACTAAGCTCGGTTAAATTTGTAAACGATTTCATCCAGGCAGGCCAAATGCTTATTCCAACGTTGGACATGAAAAATGTGATGATGTTTGGACCAATCTGTGTCATGACTTCGGCGTTCCAATCCTGGATATTTGTGTCGGAAATTGTTAGATATTTAAGGACGCTCAGATGAAGCAAAGCATTTGGAATCTTCGTCAGGCGACAGTTGCTCAGTGAAAGGGTTATTATCGTATTTGCTGAATCGTCAAATGCGTCCTTGTTTATTGATGCGATGGGACTGTCGTGTAAGTAGATCTCTGTCAGGTTGCCGGGCAGGACGCCGCCCGCTAGCAGCTGAGCTACATTTATCTGGCGACAAACAGAAAAGAAAAAGATAATTGTAGTTCTTCTTCTTCTTTTTTTCTTCTTCTTTATCTTCTTATTTTTTTCTTCTTCTTCTTCTTCTTCTTCTTCTTCTTCTTCTTCTTCTTCTTCTTCTTCTTCTTCTTCTTCTTCTTCTTCTTCTTCTTCTTCTTCTTCTTCTTCTTCTTCTTCTTCTTCTTCTTCTTCTTAATCTTCTTCTTCTTCTTCTTCTTCTTCTTCTTCTTCTTCTTCTTCTTCTTCTTCTTCTTCTTCTTCTTCTTCTTCTTCTTCTTCTTCTTCTTCTTCTTCTTCTTCTTCTTCATTTTCTTCTTCTTCTTCTTTTTCTTCTTTTTCTTCTTCTTCTTCTTCTTCTTCTTCTTCTTCTTCTTCTTCTTCTTCTTCTTCTTCTTCTTCTTCTTCTTCTTCTTCTTCTTCTTCTTCTTCTTCTTCTTCTTCTTCTTCTTTTTTTTTCTTCGCGTTCACAGGCTGTAAACCTCGGCGGAAAGTTCTTGTTGTTTGTCCACTGTTAAACTGCAGTCCTGTTCCAGAACCCGAGTGTTGTGTGTGCATCCATTTAACAGATCTGACTAATTTGTATGCAGACTGTTGGTTCCTTACCTCTCTAGCAGATGCACTCCGACTTCGAAGGAGGCTCTCAAGTAGTCGACTTTTGCGACATGTTTCAGGTAAGCAGTTTTCCCTATAATAGGGCCCCGGAACCCACACTTAAGATAATGAAGTGGGTGTACTTAATGTATATTGTTTCGTGCGTGCAGTTTTTTAATATAGCCATACATTCATCGTTGTCAGTAAATAATGCGTGTTTCCTAGAGAAGTTGCGGCTGGCTTAATGTTGACATCACCCACCGGGTTCTAAGGGTTAAAAAAAATGGTCTAGAACTATAAGCTAAATACCTCCGAAGGCGTAATGAAAGGGTCCTTTACTTTAACTTCACTTAGCGGCCTGTCTTTTTTATCTGTATGCCCTTCAATGTCCTCACGATCACTATTTCTAATGTCATTGCATGTTTCCCAGTTTTACGATTATTGCATGTACCTGTATTGGAAGTATGCAAAAGTCTGGACAGTCTGGCATCGTGACAAAAAGCAATATTTTTTACATGAAACAATTAGCATTACACGTGATATCTGATTGAAAACATACACGATAGATTTGCAGGTTCTGCACCAATAAGTGGTAAATTAATGACTGGCCAGCTAGTTATGGTCAAGGCTTGTTGCGAACGCCAGGTCATGACTGTCTGAAGAGAAAGGTGCAGCGAAGAGAGACAACGGGATCTTGTCGATGCTCAACACTCAGAGGGCAGACAAGACGGAAATATAATCATACTGCTGCTGGGACTATTCCAGCTGGAACTTTACACGTGCTGCTGAAGGTGAAGACGGGGCGCTTATGGAAATGCCCAGAGTCTAGCGATGACTGGCATTACCCCAACTAAACTCAGATACAGTAACAAGCCCTACAGAAGGGCTATAATACAAAAGAGAATGCGTTTCTTGGAAACGAAAAGAATTACAAAATAGATATCTATTTCTAGAGAAAAACATTGTCAGGAACGGACTGGGTGGTTCTCTTTGAGCGCAGTCTGATCTCACTAACTGAGGACATGAGACAAAAGTTTAATAAATTGAATCAGTTGCTGCGAGGCCTGTATCATCTTACAGATACTCTCGATTGTCAATCTAACATCGAAATATTTAGTCCTACCAGTACTGCTGCTGCTACAACTACTGCTGATGCAACTGCTACTACTACTGCAACTAGTGCTGCTGCAGATACTACTTTTTCTGTTGTTGACACTACTGCTGCTACTGCTACTGCTCCTGCTGCTGCTACCGCCGCTGCTGCCCCTGCTGCTGTTGCTACTACTTCAACTATTATTACTACTACTACTACTACTACTACTACTTCTACTACTACTACTACTACTACTGCTACTGCTGCAACTACTACTGCTACACCTAACGTATATGTTTGATTTTTCTTAATTTTTGTTCTTCCATTCGTCTCCTCATGAGTAGATTCTTTATGTTGTTATTCTTATTTTTAGGTAGCTTCTCTTCGTAACTGTTTCATTCCTGGTCTGTGTGTGTGTGTGTGTGTGTGTATGTGTGTATGTGTGTGTAATACGGGCGTATAGTATCGTAATCTGTGAACAAACAATGCAACTGTTGGGATACTTACATCAATTGTAGGTGGGGTTAGGCCTGTGTTGACGGGAGCACCAGGTGTCGGGTTCCGGTCTTTGCAAATCGTAAATGTCTTCTCACAGACACACTGCTGGTATAGACAGACTTACTGTTTACTGGTTTAGTTTATATGTTTTCTACGACAAAAGTCATTGGTTTTTATAATGAAATCAAAAGCACTTTTGGGTAGGGTAGGGCTAATTCCAAAAGGAGGATTAGGGTCCTCTTGTTCTTCTTCTTTAAAGCTTTCGCGGGTCTAAACTCCGGCGGAAGGGTGCGACTGTTCGTCCACTTTTAGACTGTGGTCTTGATCCAGAATTTAGGTTTTGCGTGCGTATCCGTTTTACAGATCTAATTTAAAAACAGACTATTGATTCCTTGCCTCGTGTAATTACTGGTGAAGATCTCTAGCAGCAACTTTCACTTGTCGTTTGTGTTAGCGATAATGTTAATTCACAGTGTTCGTCAATGACAAATAGCCTTTTCATTCGTTACTCATTTCATCGAGTCTCCACTAAGCTTTTTTTTTTTTTTTTTTTTAAATTGACGCGATTTTGGAATTAGAACATGTTCTGTGTCTTAAATGTACCAAATGTTATATTCGTGAGATCACCGATCGAGTACCCACTGACGTGTACATCTGCCGCCAGAATCATTAGACCAAGCACGCACGCCCTTTAGACCTGAAAAAATAGGCTTTGTCTAACTTATTTTAAACACATCTAACACTCACTTTCTGTGTAATGTGTTAATGTATCGATCTATTATTGTGTTGATGTGTTAATGCGTCATTGTGTCGAAGTGTTGATGTGTTAATGTGTTGATGTGATAATGTGTTAATGCGTTAATGAATTATCGTGTTAATGTGTTAATGAGAAAACTTGTTAATGTGTTAATGATTTAATGAATTGATGTGTCAATGTGTTATTGTGTTGATATGTTAATGCCGTAATGTGGTAAGGTGTCAATGTGTTGATGTTTTGATGTCCTAATGTGGTGATGTGTTGATGCGGTAATGTGGTAATGCGTTAATGTGTTAATGTGTTGATGTGTTAATGTGGTGATGTGTTGATGCGTTAATGTGGTAATGCGTTAATGCGTTAATATGTTAATGTGTTGATGCGTTAATGTGGCAATGCGTTAATGTGGTTATGTGTTTATGTGTTTATGTTGTAATGTGTTAATGTGTTAATGTGGTGATGTGTTGATGCCTTAATGTAGCAATGCATTAATGTGGTAATGTGTTTATGTTTTTATGTGGTAATGTGTTAATGAGTTGCTGTGGTAATGTGTTGATGTTTTAATGTGGTAATGTGTAATCCCATAAGAATGGAGGTGGAGGCAATCTCTGCTGCCCTCTACTGGCTTGAGAATCAACTGTACACACATGCCGTGATTATAACTGACTCACAGACCATGTTAAGAAAAGTGAAAACAAGCATGCTTCGTGCAGAGTGGCAAGCATCACTTCAGATGCTCCGGGTAGTTAGCATCCTTTGGATATTTTCTCCAGGTTATGCCGGTGTGTTGGGAAATGAGTAGACAGATAGACAAGCTGGCTGTGCACCACTTGGTAGAGAACTGATGTATGACAAGTTAGATATTGTGAGGTCCTTTAAGAGCGAGTGAACAGTTCGGAGGCGCAGAAAGATCATTACGGACTGTTTAGCGCTGCAAGGGATCTGGCCGACGCTCAACACTCTGGGAAAGGATGAGACAGATATACAATCAGACGGTTACGGGTACCATTGGAATTTAAACTCTTCACTTGCCGTTAAAAATGGGGACTAAGGCACTTGTGAGAGTGTCCTGAATGCTGTGATGTCGATTCCTTATTCCTTATTCAACATTCAACTATTGTGTAACCCTAGCCCTTCTGTTATTGTGAGAGCGTGATATGACAAGATCAAAATTTCTTCTTCTTTCTTAAAGTCTATGCCGTGTGGCGCTAGCAGTCATGTCTATCCACAGCTTTCCGTTTCATGTACTGTCAGTCAAATCTGACACAGATGATCCTCCATGCCATGGTGTCAAAAAGCCCAGCATTTTTGTTTTTCGTCTCTCTCTCTCTGCATCTCCTCTCCTTTAACTTTTATACCGTCACTATGTGCTGCAGTTTTCTCATTCTGGTCGCATAACCAAAAATGTAGATTGTCTCTTTCTGATGTGGGCAATCAGTTCTCCTCGTGAGTCAAATTTTTTTCAAGCCCAACACTTAAGCCAAATTTTCTGTTCACTTTTATCGTAAACAGTACTGACACACATGTGAATAGGTAATTACAAATCCGTTCATTTTCAATCAGGTTGGGTGTAAACGTATTTACCTCATAAGGACAATCTGCTATAGCCTCCAGTACACATAAAGCAATACGCAGCAATACAACTGAAACTGACAAGCTGCGCATATTTTTTAACACCTGCAATTAAAGGACGTGAATATTATTTAAAATTGTGAGAGTATGCATCTTCCATGTAATCATTTACACACTTACATTCATGTAAACATGTAAACATGTTCATCCACCCGTAGGGGCATACACACTTCCACATTC